GAAGGAAAACGCCAACTAGGAGGGCAGGGCCCCCCACCCGCCTGTACCTGGTCAGCAGCTTGATAGGCCGCTTACCTATTGCTACGGCAGCCAATGAGATGGGATGAGAGAAATGACGCCAGCAAGAAGAGGAGAGTGACAGCAAGGAGAAAGAGGGTTAGACACACAACACACCAGGAAGGGCAGCCACACACTGTGAGGTGGAAGCAGACAAGCAGGGCAAGGGGTGACGAGCTTATTAGCAACACACGCCAAGTGGTGGGTCCCTGCACTGGCTCAATCAGGCCCACCTAGGGGACAGGAACCCTGGAGGATGTAGCCAGCAAGCCAAACAGGCCAAGACCTGCCACAAGTTTAGCTCAGCCATGGACCAAGCCTGCCCATCAGGCAGAGAGCCACAAAGCCAGGGGCACTATAATAGACCCACACTATTTATCTTAAGCGCTTCCAGGAAGAAAAACAGAGCAGCAGAGCCTGTGGAGCATAATCTCATTAGAGCTGCTGAGGCAAGGATGGGTCTCTCCGTCAGCAAAGAAAGCAGGCATGCACAGTGGGGCAGAATGAGAAGGCTATGTGGCCCCTTATCAAAATCCAAGGGACCCAGGACATGCAGTTGTCTGGATCTACTCAGAGGGCTGCACAGTGTCCCTGCCTTTCCATCTGTGGCCTAGAGAGCGCCTCAAGCTTGCATACAACCTCTCCTCCAAGAGTGACCCAGAGGAACTGAAAAAAGCTGAGTTAAGAGCCTGCCTCCTGAGAAGTGGGCGAGGGTCTGGCAGCATGGGTAGGCTTTCCAGAGAACCCAGCAAAGCCCCAATATGAAAGGGCTCTGAGAACAGGACGCAGACAGATGAGTGCCTCCAGCCTGGCACCAACTCTGTCCAGAGACAGATCTTTCTCCTGAAAGGAGTACTCAACCTGTCTGGCAAAAGTGGTCATCTCCAGCAGCCATGCCTACACCTAAGGGACACAAGAGACAGGAAGGACAGGAGTTCCTAAAGCTATGGGGGCCCTGCCATTCCAGAGGTCCTGTAAGCAGCCAGCACCTGACTGCCAGGCCAATGCTGCCAAACCTAAAAGGAACCAGGCTATATACTAGCTGAATTTCCAAGATGCAGCAAGGGGTGTAGCCCAAGTCAAGTCCCTGATGAAATAAAACCTGGTCCTGCATGCTGAGGCCGGGATGATGGGCACAGCTGGCTCGGCCAAGGGACTTACCCGATGTCATCTCGGTAGACCCGGGAGATGAGCACCTCTCCCTTGTGATTATAGATGAATAAGCCTCCGATCATGGCGGCAGCTCAGTCTCCACGGCCCATTGCTCTGAGAAGAGACCTAAGACAGTCGGAGGGAAGGAAAGACTTCACAGGTCCTGCCAGTGTCCCCCGTAGGGCAGTGCAGGTCACTGGCTCTTTCTTCCCAGACCCAACCCTTTAGCAAGTGACCCTACAAGCCTCTGGGGAAAGCCCCTCCCCTCAGTGGCTCCAGTTCCTGTTTATCCCACACTAGATGGGCGCAAAGAAACAGGACTTGGGCCCAGAATCCTAAGGCACTTTGACCCTCCTCCCTTTTCCGGGACTGAGCCAGAGACTAACTCCCCTCCCACCCTCCTCTGCACAGCGCTGAGCTAAGCAAGGATTCTTTTCAGCCCCCTCCTGTGCAGACTCTGGGCTCCAGCCTGTGAGTCACTGACAAGGCCCGCCTGAGGCTGCAGGAATGGCGGTAGGAATTACTCCAGCTGGCTCAGGCCTGGGGCCCCTGGGCACAACCTTCAGACCATCCAGTCTCCCTCTCCAGCTGCACTTCCCTTCTCCGAAGGCAAGCAGGGCCTGAATCTCCAGAAGTCTACACATTCCAAGAATGGGTGTGCAGCTTTCAGGACTGGAGGAAAAGAACAGAGGCTTTGGGTCCAGACAGACCCAGGACCTTAGCAGGTATCTATCTTCCAGGCAAGGAAGATAGCAGAGGAGAAAGGTCCCAGTGCAGATAAATTACATGTTAGTGACCCAAACTGCTTCCTATGGTTATTTCCCAGCACTCCCTTTCAAAAAGCTTTGGCATGTAATAAAATAAGGAAGGGTGTGTGTGGAGGTCTGAAAAGTTACTAGATCCTTCTGGATGAAATTCTGATTCCAGACCCATCAAATAACTCACTTCTGGTCTGAGTACCTACAAGCAAGGGGTAGGAGTATCTGATGGCCTTAAATACCCCAATTATTTGGGTTAAACTAAGACTATTTGAGAAAAGGGGGTTAATTTGATTCTAGATTTCCTGGATTAGCCCTAGTATTAATTTCACAGAGGGCAATTCAGTGGACTCCTAAATTTAAAAGATTAAGCCTTTCCCTATGGCTGTTACTATCACCTAAACCAGCATAAGGTCCCTCCAGAGATGGAAACATTCTCATTCTCTATTCCCAAAGAAACTGGGAGAGAACATGTAAAATGGAGGTAAGAGTCCTGGGCAAAGAACCAAGTCCATGGGTATCAAGTGGTGGTGGCTCAGGGCCCCAAGCGAACCAGAAGTGGAGCCCTTGTCAGGAATGGAGCATTTTGCTAAGGGAAAAGACAAGAGGTCACTACCAGCAAGCAGCACCCTCAGTGAGCCCACAGCAACGAACAGAGTTGGCACAAAACCCTAAGGAAAGAGGTTCCGGTGTAGCAGAGGTCAGGGTTTGGACAAGGGGAAACGGGAGAGACTGGGGGGGGGGTGTAAATAAGAGAAAGCGAGGGCGGTGGGGCCTGCTTTAGGGTTCAGGTGCACAGGCTTGACGTGGGGGAGGTCTCCTTGCCTGGGGGAGAAGATAGTGTCACAAGGTACCGAGGCTGTCACAGGTCACAGGAGAGCCGCGGGGGGTCGCTGAGCTGGGGGAAGGGGGTGCCGCAAGGAGAGGCCTGTCACCGTCCAAGGAGGTGGCACGGGGGCTGTCGCCGTCTCGGGGGATGGGGGATTGTCTCTGCGCTGAGGAGGACGCGCGCCGATGGCTGGGGGTTGTCACGATCCCAGGGAGGGGGCGCTAGGGGGGGGGGCGCCGCGCGGGGCCAGGGTTCCGAGAGGATCCTGCCGGTCTCGCCCTCATAGGAGGAGCTCGGCAGGTCAGGCGGAGGGCACCGCTCCCAGCCCGTCCCGCGACCGCGCCCCGGGTGCCCCCACCCCGCCGGCAGCTCTCTCCAGTCTGGAGGCTGAGGCCACTCCCGGGTGTGGGCAGCTTTTCGCCCAGCAGCGCAGAGCGAAGGACTGAGCGGCGGGGCCGACAACCCTACGCATTCTCCCCTACCCGGTGAGGTCGACTCCCCAGCTCACCTGGTGCCCGCGTCCGCGGCCCCCTACTCAGACGGCCAGGCCACTCTCCAGATCCCAAGATGTCCGCCCGCCCCCAGCTCGCCGGCCCGCTGTCTCGGCTTTGACTGCAGTGCCGCGGCCCCGCCCCGGCCCCGGCTGCGCTTGCGCACCCGCCTCTCGAGCCTGACTACAATTCCCGTCAGGCCCTGCGGCCCTTTCGCTGACAATTGAGGGCGCCAGGCTTATAAAACTACAACTACAAAAAAAAAAAAAAAAAACTACAACTGCGAATGGCCCTAGAGAGACTGCCCCCAACTTCCGGAGATAGGGAACTTCCGCGCCTCGCCAGAAATCCCTGCACCCGTCGCTGGACACCTTCCGTTTCGTCAAGCAGCATCCCGGGAATTGTAGTCTTTTTGCTTTTGTTGAAGCCCTTCTGTTAACTTTGCATCGCTGTAGGCCTTTCCTGTCCCGTCTGGAAAGTGGCTTCTTCACCCTTCACCTTCTCTCTTTCATTCTCGGTCCATTTCTGTCTCTCTGTCTCTCTGTCTCTGTCTCTCTCTCTCTCTCTCTCTCACACACACACACACACACACACACACACATGCATGCATGCATAACAGGGTATGATTCTCGAGTTTTTCTTATATTTCTTTCAATACAAGCTTTTTCCATAGGATCAAGGCCCAAGGAGGGGGCCGGAAGAAAGGAACTACTTTTTTTTTTTTTTTTTTTCGTTTTTATCGGTACTGGGGATCGAACTCATGACCGCACACTTGCAAGGCAGGTGCTTATGCCACTGAACTAAATCCCCAGCCCGTTTTGTTTTTTTGAGACAATCTCTTTATGCAGTTTAGACTGACCTTGAACTGTGTAGCCCAGGGTGGCCTTAAACTCATGGTGATCCTCCTACCTCAGCCTCCTGAGTGCTGGAAGTACAGGCGTGAGACACCACACTCAGTGGGGATACATTCTTGGAAGAAACTAGCTAAAACCTTTCACGACTCAAGTGTTCTCAGCAATACCAGTGACCGTGTGTATCTTCTACAGGAACATATTTCTTAGAAAATAGTGAGTTTGGGTCGGGTGTGGTGGCTCACTCCTGTAATTCCAGCACTCTGGAGGCTTAGGCAGGAGGATTGTTGCAAGATGGAGTCCTGCGTGGGCTACTAAGTGAGCTCAAGGCCAGCTTGAACTGCCTAGCGAGACTCTGTCTGAAAAAGACAAAAAAAAAAAAAGGCCAAGTTGAATTTTGTTGGATATGAGATTCAAAATCCTTTCTCTGATAAACAGAATTAATCTTTACTTTGGCATCTAAGAAGAGGCATATTAAACCCATGAACATGAAGGACAACCTGGTTCTTGAAGGATCTGAATATGTTGGCTTTTCTCTTTCTGCATGCAGCTGCCTTCTGTATAATCCTGCTGCTTTCACTCAATAGGCTTAATTAAGACTGTCATGCCAGGAAGGGAAAATCTGTTCACGAACCTATGGTACTTAGCAGGCTCCTATCAGAAGCCAGGATGCAGCAGGAAGACAATCTGGCCTTCTTCAATCGGTTATCATCCTGATACCATAGTGACTGAAAATATGCACTTCTAAACCTTGAACCAGCATTTGAGGACTCAACACTATCTTTGTAAGAAGTTTTATCTTCTAGATAGATACCTTAAATGACTATGACTTAGAATAAATAGTAATAATTATTAGAATAAATAGTAATAATGGCTACCATTTATTGAGCACCTACTCTATTGTGCCAGGCACTGTGCTAGGCACTTTTCGTACAATATCTAATTTAAATCCTCACAACAACCCTGTGAGGTAGGTATTATTATCATCATTTTACATACAAGAGGACTGAGGCTCAGAGAGGTTAAATAACTCTCCTATCACGCAAACAAAAAGTAGTACAGCTGGAATTCAAACCCAGACCAACCTGACCCCAGATCTCATGCTCTGGCACATTAAAGGCAAAGAGGATAGAAGGGCCAAATTTAAGAAAGGCTCTTGGAGTGGAAAGGATAAAATATGCCAGTAAGATATAGAAACAAAGGATTTAAGTCCTAAGTGTCTCTAGCTGGTGAGCCTACATAGATTGTGTTGAAGGTCACCAGGACAGGGATTCAGGAGGAATGCTGGTCAGGGGCCCGAGTGGTGTCCACACCAGTGAGTAATACAAGTCCAGATGTAAAGACTGGAGGATGTTGGGACTGGAGCTGTATATGGCAATCAGCAGCTTATCAGCAGTAATTGAGGACATCAGGATGGGTGACAATTTTTTAGGAGCAGAGAGGAAAGAGAAGTGGATCAAAGATGCAACAACGGAAATACAAACCCCCAAGGTGTGAATGCAGTGGAGGAATTCTCAAGATCAGACAAGGCAGAGTCAGAAAAGTACAGGAGGTGGCCCAGGAGTGGAGGCTGGAAGAAACCATGGCCTGGGCTGGCAGGCAGGACTGAGTCATGCTTCCAACACAGCCCCTTGTTCACTAAAACCTCAGGAAATATTTGTTGAATGAATGAATGCTGAAACGCTCCTACTTCAGTTTGCCCCAAAACCTGGGCTAAGGACTTCATGTTACTCTCAGTATCTTAACCCTGAAAATACGGGTGTTTAGAGTGGAGGCTTAGAGAGAATATCATGATTTGTTTAAAGTGGAGAATGAAGTTAAAAAAGAAAAAACAAAAACAAAAAACAAAAAACAGACTAGAATTCGGGAAATCCCAGAAGTCCTTTTGCCTGACTGCAACTGGCCCGTGGCTCCTGTCCTTCCTCTGGGCAGGGTGAGAAAGACCTGCAGCTGCCTGCTGCGTTCTCTGCTGAGCAGCCTGAGATCCAGCTCCCGGGCTTAACCAGGTGGGGGAGGCGCAAGGGCTCTAAAGAAAGGGCCAGGGTAGTAGGGGGACCAGCCCCATTGTCTGGAGAGGGCCCAGCCCTCAGCAGGGACCAGCCCTGAGGCTTAAGTGAACTTGCATAGGCACATGCGTGTGCATGTGTGCACACGTGTGTGTATGAGTGATTTTTTTCTGGGAAGAAACACGGTCTCTTGTGCCTGGGTGAAGCTGGAGCTCCCGCCCCCCAACTTAGTGACGCTGAGGTGTGGGTATGGGTGTGGGTGTGGGGCTGCACATCCTTGGGAAGCCCCGAGGACTGCTGAAGCAGGGTTCTTGGTCTCCGGAGGCTGAGCCTCCCATTGCTGGGGACTCACAGAAAGTCAAACAGCCCGAAATTCTTGGCTGCTCCAGGCCCAGGGAAAATTGAGGGAGGAAAAAAAGAAAGAGAAGAAACGTTTCAGGCTCAAGGTAAGATGAGCCTGCTGGTTAGTAGGGTTAGGCTCTGATGGAACCAACACACAGGCAGGCACAGGGGCAGGGGGTTGAGCAGAGCTGCTCCCTGAAAGGCAGGAGCCGCCCAAGCACCCAAGGGGGCTGAGACCGACAGCACAGATGGCCACAGGAGGGGTTTCCGGCCCTGGGGTGCAGGACCGAGGCAGCAGGCAGGACATGGGGAGGGGGGATGCAGGGACTTATTCTGGCATCAGTACTGTAGGGGCAACAAAGAGGTTTGCACTCATGCATGGGGTGGGATTAATGTAGGGATGACGCAGCAGAATGAAGAGCGGAAACGGTCCTGAGGGGCGAGCACCCCAAGGCCAGGCCCTGCGGTGTGTGAGGACGGGCAAATGGACAGAGTAAGCACCAGCCCGACCCGGTGAGCCCTGCGCAGCGTTAGTGGGCCGGGGGAAGCTGGGCCAGAGGCGGTTAGGGGCTGCAGGGCCCGTCAGGAGGTGCCTGGCTCCCTCGCTGTTTATTTCCCTTTCAGGTACCAAAGTGAAAAAGGCAGACGGACGGACGGCGCGGCTGGTCGGGGTGGGCGGCAGTCGGGGGAGGGGGCCCTGCTCACATCACATCCACAAAGAACTCACTGGGGTTTCCCATGGCCATGCGGAAGGACTGTCTGCTGGCGGTCAGTTCCGGGGGCACGGAAGCCAGGTCACGGCCCGGCGGGGCTCCCGGGGGCCCCATGGCCGCGGGCGGCGGTGGCATCATCAGCACTGGGGGGCCGTAGAGTGGGGGCACGCCGGGCGGGCCGTAGCTGGGGTGCGTGTGGTGGCTGCGCAGGCTGCCGGCCAGCGAGTGCTGGCTGCGGTGGCTGTGCTCACTGGCGGCCGGGCCCGAGCGCTCGCTGGGGGCGCGCTCCCGAGGCCCCCGAAGGCTGCTGCGAGTAGTGTGGTCAGACTCGCTGCCGCTGCCACCCGACTTTGAGTCTCCCGCCTTCGGGTCCTTTTCCTTGCGCCGGTCGCTGCCGCTGCGGTTGGAGCCGCTGCTCCGACTGCCTGCGGGGGATACGCAGGACCCAAGTGGGGTGCTTAACCAGGCAGGAAGCCAAGGTTGGCCCGGAGCTCCCTCTGGGCTGGGCCCTCCTTACCTTCACTGTGCTGACTGCTGGCACTGCCCCCGCCGTAGCTGTAGCCCAGCTCCGGGAAGCCAGGGTGCGGGTTGTAGGGGTGCGGGGGCGGTGGGTATTGGTAAGGGAAAGCCATGGGCCAAGGAGCGGCCCCCGGGTGAGGCAGAGGGGCCAACGTGTCCTGGTCAGAAGCACCACTGGAGCCGTCGTGGTCGTGCAGGGACAGGTTGGCCATGTCTGCGGAGGAGTGCTGGGTGAGTCGGGCTGCCACCCCTCACCCTAACCCTAAGCCTAGAGAGGGCATCCAGTGTGGGTCGGGGGGTGTGCAATTGGGGTAGTTTACAGCCAAAAGGGGAGGAGGCATAGCACCCATCTGCCACAGAGCTCAGCACTTCTGCAGAGCCCCTCAGACACCACCAGAGATGGGAGACCTGGGGAGCCCCTCCAGGAAGGTGGAGCACCATTTCAGACTCTCAGCCAATCTCCACACCCAGCGCCCAGGCCCCCAGGCTTCGGTGGGCTGGAGGAAGGGGCAAAGCTCCTACTGTGCCGCCATCTCTAGCCCTCCCAGAGGGTGCCAGGCCAGCAAGTGGGGAAGGCTCAGCTGAAGGCCAGGGGGCCTCCAGGCATTGCACACTGGGACTCAGGAAGTCACTACAGAGTACCTGGGCTGCTGCAGAAGTGCCCCAATCCTCTCACTTTCCCAAGTGAGGAAAGTCCAGTCTGGAGGGCTTAAGTGAGCAGCCTGAAGTCAATGTAAAGTGCTAGCAGAATAGCAGCTGAGCGCTGCTTTCTCTCCTCATCTTTCCAGATAGTCATTAGACACAGGCAGAAGTCTGAAGAAATTTAGGTGAAATTTTGTCCTCCCCCCTCCTCTGGGACTGAAAAGCGTATCCAAGAGAAGGCCAGCACGAGCACACATCTTTCAGGACCTACTTAGAGAAGGTCCTGTCCTGATCACATCTCCTGGTGCTGCTGGGGAGGGTGAGGCTGAGACAGGAAGAGCTGGGGAATGAACAGTGCCTCCTCTGTGCCCTGCACCCATTCTAAGCAGCCCTGGCACCGACTCAGTCTGTCAATGTTACTTACTTCATGACTGTGACGTCCCCAGAAATTCTAACTCTTTAAGAGCAAGGCTGCTGGGCTGGGGATTTAGCTCAGCGGCATAAAGCGCATGCCTTGCAAGCAGGCAGTCGTGAGTTTGATCCTTGGTACCGATAAAAAGGAAAAAGACAAAAAAAAAAAAAAAAAAAAAGAGCAAGGCTGCCCCTGCATTGGCTTGGGACCACCTGGCAGGGACTATAAGAGGCCACCGGGTCTCTGTACCTGCCTGGGGTGGCCCCTGTATACACATCACCTGTACCAGGCCCCAGGGCTCTGAGAGCTGCAACTACCCCAGAGTGGAGGGAGAGAGGCGGCAGCCTGCCTGGCTCAGGCCTGAACAGCTGGTGCTGACTTTGGCCTGCAGGCTGTGGCCCTTCTTCCATGTGAACCTGCCACACACCCAGCTGAGGACTGGCCAATGAGAAGGATGAGATCACTCTGATCTGGGTCTTGGGTGGCCTGGGGTCATGGTCCAAGACCCAGGTGGACCCACGGAAGAAACAATATTTTTTGAACAAAGATCATAGCCGCCTTGGAAGCTTTAGGTGTCCCTGGCAGTCAGGGACCAGGGCTGACTTGTGCTAATGATGACATTCATACACCCTGCATTGAGTCTGAGAAGCTACTGACTGTAACGTGTACCCAATTTCACCAAGATTGAAATGTGAAAAAAGTGAGTATCTCATTAATACACGAACAGGCAGTTTTTATAGAGCACTCACTTACTATGGCTCATGTACTGTCCTAAGCATTCTGTATCCTTAAAACAGCCTTGTGAGGTAGGTTCTGCTCTGACCTCTATCTCACAGACCAAGAAGTAGAGCACCAAGAGGCCACATCACTCACTGGTCTTTGCTCAGTAAGGGCAGAGCTAGGATTTGAACTTGGAACTATCAACCTTCACAGTCCTATGCACGTATCATGCAGAGTTTGCCAAGGGCCAGGACCTGCCTTCACCCAGGGACTGTGACCTGCGGAATCAGCCATTCTAGGCCCTGTAACCCAGGCTGGGGCACTTTAGGAGCCCCTCAGCAGAGACCAGACAGCAGGACCACACTGGGAGAAGTCTCCCTCAGGCTGTGGCTTGGATAGACACCTGCCGTTACACTATGACTTCACATCCCGTGGTTGTTCTCAGGCTCAGGAAGAGCAGGGAGGTTCCCTGAAGACCTCTCGTGCTTAACCACCCTCACTGGCACTTCCCAGACTCGCTGACATAGCCCACAGAGTCTTCTCTCAGTCTTCTGTGCCCTGACCCTGGCAGCTTCCCTGGCTTCATCCTGTGACATGGATAGCCCACCTTCAGGGGTCTGAGGAGGACCTGGAGTAGCTGGCCAGTCCCAGGTGCTGCCCTGGAGGGGCCTGCTTGGTTTAAGGACCAAAGCAGGTGCTCTGTCTGGCTTTGCCAAGAGGTGGGTTCTGTAGCACCATGTATCCAGGGCAGCCCCAGGCACTGAAAAGAGCAAGAGCTCTGGAGCCAGAGCTGGATCCAAGGCACGACTCCTCTGCTTCCTGAAGAGACCTGGGCAGACTGTCTCATACCTATCCATCTGCCTCCTCATCTCAGAACCCAGAGAGCCCTACCCCCTGGGGGGATCTGAGGATCAAGTAAGGTGATCACGTGGGGCACAGCGGGCACGCCGAGAGAACGTCAGGCTCAAAGGGGAGACGTGGGCAGGAGGAGTCTAGGCTGGACTCTGTTTCCACCATGGAACTCAAGGCTAAGCCAGGCCCAGCTCCGCTGTGCCTCACCTGGCCACGTCCCCAGGCATCTCCCCACACCCCATCAGCAGACCGGGTGAGAAGATGGAGGAGACACGTACTGCCACAGAGGTCACCAAAGATGTAGTAGCACTGCTCAGAGAAGGTGATCTTGTTGACAGTGTGGCGGATGAAGCCGGCTTTCAGCAGGTTGCTGGCATACTTGCGGGCCTCCCGCCGGTCGGTGAAGCCTTCTACGTTGTGGTAGAGCCAGTCCACCACGTCCGAGCCTGGGGAGAAGGCTGCCAGGTGACTGGGAGGCCCACCTGCTCTGGGTTCTTCACAGAAGCTCACAAGACTGGTCCAAGGGAGTTCCTGGGGCCCCCAGGCCAGCAAGCTGTCCCCTCACTCCCCACTCCGTCCTTCCTCCCACCATGGGGCTGTCTCACCGATGAAAGCGTTGGGAATGGTAATCTTGAGCCACATGCGGTCTCGGACCTCCAACCCCGATTCAGGGGAGGCCATGGCTTTCACAATGGCGGCCATGTCACTGTGGATGGATAGGTGGAAGTCGTCTAGGCCTGCGGGTGGGAGGCAGAATGGTGAGACCCGAAGGGGCTTTAGAGTTTGGTACACAAGAGTTTACATTCCAGCTCTACCGCCCCATAGTGACAGACCCAATGTGGACAAATCACTGACTTCTTGGACACTCAGTTTTCCTCTCTGTAAAAATGGGCATTTTAATATCTACAAGGGTATTTGAAGAAAGAACTAGTAACATAAATGAAAGTGCCCGGCACAGTGTATGTGTGCAGGTTATGAGTATAAAAATGGCAGCCATTTACTGAGTGCTTACTGGGTGCCACACACTGATGTGTGCCACTGGCACCCTCTTACTGAGCCCGCCAGAACCTGGTAAAGTATGTATTGACAGTCCCATTTTACAAGAGGAAACTGAGGCTCCCTGGATGCTCGATACCATGTGAGCAGCAAATGATGCACAGTGGGGACCAAGTGTGCGCTGGGGGGAGTGCAGTGTGAGGTGGCTGCAATGAGAGCAGTTCCCTCTCCGGCCCTCCTGTGGGCTTAAGACCCCAGCCTAGCCCTGTCTGCTGGGCCCGGGGACCAGGGTTGGTCACTCACGCTCTGTGTCAGGGATGGAGCTGGTGATGGAGGAGCTGGTGGAGGTGATGGTGCTCAGGGAGGGGCTCATGCCGTAGGCAGGGAAGGTGCCCGTCATGGCTGCAGTGTGGGAGACCCAGGCCGCGGGGTCAATGGGCCGGATGGGCTCGCCTACAGGGAGGATGCAGAGTCAGGGGCTGCCCACACCAATAGGTATGAGGTGTGAGGGCTCAAGGGGACAGGAGAGGAAGGAGGCCCAGGGCTCACATATGCAAGCACCCACTTCAGGAATAAATGCCCCACCCACTTACTCCTAGGCAACGTGAAGCAGCCACGTGGACTTGGGTCCCAGCACTTGGCTACGGTCAGGGTGATGGGCCTAAGAACAAGGTTGTTGTGGTGAGGAAAGGATGGGGCCAAACGTGGCCCCTTGCCTGACAGCTAGTACACCTGCCCCAGCCTCCGCCAGGTCCTGTGCCCGCCATACCCCGGTTTGTGCACAATCTCCCGCAGGACCCGGACGGCATCGTCATTACTCATGTTCTCAAAGTTGATCTCGTTTACCTGAGAGAGGATTGGGTGTGGGGTAACAGGCTGTGCAGTGCAGAGGGGCATGGAAGCCAGGCTAGGGGCCAAGAAGCCCCCAGAGGGCAGGGATCCCTCCCCGCTGCCCAGCTGTGCCACAGCTGGGCAGGTGATGCTACCTGCAAGAGCATGTCCCCAGGCTCGATGCGCCCATCTGCAGCCACAGCCCCGCCCTTCATGATTGAGCCGATGTAGATCCCTCCGTCGCCACGCTCGTTGCTCTGGCCCACGATGGAGATGCCCAAGAAGTTATACTTTTCTGCAGGGAGTAATTTAACACCCTGAGTGGGCCGAGTCCCTACCGAGATTCCCATCCCCTTATTAGAAAAGGGTGGAGAGGGAAAAGAGCTGACATTTACTGAACGCAAGCCGGGTACTGTGCACTTTGCTTTCCTGTCTCCCTATTGGCTGTGAGGTAGTGACACTTGGTCCCATTTTAGACTGACAACAGGCAAGTGCAGGTGAGTGATTCGTCTTTTTCTTTTGGTTTTTTTGAGACAAGGTCTCACCATATGGTTTAGACTGATTTTTTTTGTCTTTTTCCTTTTTATCGGTACCGGGGATCGAACTCACCACTGCCTGCTTGCAAGGCAGGCGCTTATGCCGCTGAGCTAAATCCCCAGCCCTGGTTTAGACTAATTTTGAACTGAATATTTAGCCCAGGTGACCTTGAACTCATAGTGATCCTCCTGCCTCGTCCTGCTGAGTGCTACCGTGCCCGGCTTTGAAGTTTAGTGAATTTAAATGATTCTTCAGGCCAGTAAGAGGCAGAGCCAGGATTCAAAATCAGATTTAATTTCCCAAATTGGGTTCTTCTTACCAACATCCATCTGTCTCCTAAAAAGAGCCCCTAGGGCAGTAGTGGTGAACCTATGGCACATGTGTTTTTCTTTTTTTAAGAGGAAAAAATGTTAATTGAGTTGGACTCATGTTTAACTGCAATGTTGGCGCTTTGCCGGAAATACGTGGGTTCTGGATTGCAGTTTGGGCACTGGTTTCTGAAAGGTTCGCCATCCCTGGGGAGGGGGTCCCCCAGAATCCGAGTGCAAGGACGCAAGGGCTGAAGAAGGTGATGGGCGGAGCGCCCAAAACCTTCCTCCAGGAAGCCTGCCTTGCTGCACCTTCGGCTTCCACAGCACCCAGGACTTGAGTGTCACAGCCCTGACCATGAGTTTGTCAGTTGTTTATTCAACAAGCCCTTTGAAGGCAGGAAACACACTGCAGTTTGGCCTCTTGGGACCCCACTTGCCTGCCGGTGGCATCGCCTAGGTGCCCACTTACCCATGTTGAGAGTGACAGTGATGATGTTGAGCGACATAGTGGAGTCCGTGATGCTGCTGAAGGACGAGGACTGGAAGAGATGGTGCCCTGAGCAGCGGGGACTCACTGCTGCCAAGTGGCATCTCCCCAGCACCCTGCCCTTACCCGCTGCTACGGTTCTAGATGCCAACCAGAAGAACTGGCTCTGTGCAGAGACAGGCTGCGGTGGCCCATGGGGGAGGGGAGCTCCTGATCCATCCCCCCATGCCCGGGCAGGCGGCCCCTTACCCGCTCTATCCGTGACACCTTCTGCTTCCGCCGCCGCCGCTTGTGCCGTCTCATCAGGCGCGAGGCGCTGCTCTGCTCTGTGGAGCTGCTGAACCTGTGGGGCCCACAGTCGGTCCCCACCAGGCTGCCCCCCCCTCCCAGAGGTACTGCAAGGCCCCAGTCACCAACCCCAGCCCACATCCTTCTCCGAATCATTCCTTGGCTGTCCCACAGGACCAGGGAGGCAGAAGCCCCACCTGCTGGTGGAATCGTCCTCGTCGGAGTCAAAGAAGCTGGTGGTCTCCAGCTCACTGCTCATGAGGGTGGAGGAGCTGTCGTAGCCTCCAGGCTCTCGCCGCCGCTCCGCCTTTGTGGTTCCATTTAACCGGGTTGCTGTGGCAGACAGAGGCAGCTGGGGTCACGCTGTGTCCAGTGCGAGGACAAGGGAGAAGAGAGGGCCAGGGACATCCAGAGCTCAGGAATTGGGGATGCAGGGAACTGGCTGGAGGCATTGGAGCAGGCAAGACACACCATGCTCTGGGGCGTCCCTCCGTCGTGGCCGCTCCCGCTGGGTGGACACCAAGGAGTCCGTCTCTGTGTCATTGTCCAGGTTCTCCTGGCTGCCCCCGCTGGCATGAGGGCTGTGAGGAAGAGAGGACTTGGCAGGGGAGGGGGCAGGCTGGGGGCTCCCTCCCCCAGCCTTGGGCTGAGAGGACGCCACCCTCCCCCGCAGGCCTCCTGACCCTCAGGTCACACTCACTGAAAGGATGGGGGTCGTGAGTCCCCAATGCCCCCCGTGCGTTCCATAGGTGGTGGCAGTTCTGAGGGGTTGTCAGCGCAGAAGGGGGCCGGCTCTGGATGCGAGCCTTCTGCTGACACCAGCTGGAGGGGAGAAAATGAGTGGCCGCTGTCATCACCCAGGTGTGGGAACTGGGAGGCATGATTCCCTGAAACAGGTGGGGTCAGTAGCCCTACACAAAAGTCACCAGGTGACAGCAGGTGTCTAGATGAGGTGGGGAGGGTTTGTCTCTATTGTATGTTTCAGTCGCTCTCTTCCCACTATGATGTTACTTTTCATTAAAGATTTAAAAATCTGGAGTAAGAAATAGTGCAGTCAGAAAACTAAAGGAAGATCCAGACAGTGAAAGCTCAAAGCCCAGGTCACAATCTCAGCAATGCCTTTCTGGCTTCGGCAGCAGAGCACAGGCGAATGGGGCCCGAGGGCTCCTTACCCAGGACACCACGCGGCCATTGAAGCAGGGTAGCTTGGCATTGTCGTCAGAGATCTCCTCCTTCACCACTCTGCAGGAAAGGGGGTGTCAGAGAACTTTCTGGTGTGGATCTGGAGGGGCCTCAGAGCCCCCATTGTCCTCCACCCTCAACGGGGGACCAAGTAACCATCAGGAGAACATTCAAATGGTATCAGAGGAGTAGGGACGCCAGGACAGCCCTGACCACCAGCCCTGCACATGAGCCAGGCAACTACCTGGGGTCCTCCCCATCATCAGGTGATGGAAAATTCCAAGGGGCAGGTCCCTGCCCCTAGCGCCCCCTAGGCCTTCCAGAGTGTTTTACCCAGCTCCAACATGGCTTTCCCAGGCTGGACTCTCTCCTTTCCTCAGAACACCAAGTTGGGAAAAAGTGCATAAATATTAATCTTCCTTGCTTGCAGGAAATTAGGAAAGACTACATTTACTGAACATCTTCCCGATGCCGGAAGATAGCAGTGACAACTGCTTTTATTTATTGAACAAGCATAATGGGTCGAGTGCTATGCTGCCCTGTCTGTGGTATCATTTCATTTCGTGGTCCCAACAGGGCTACAAGGTAGAGATGGACGGGGAAAACAGGCTTAACAGGTTCAGTAATTCATCCAAGCTCATACCACTAGCAAGGGAAGAGCCAGCATCTGAACCCTGGAGAGCCTGACACCATCACAGTGTGCATTCTTACCTATTACACCACCCCGCTGGTTTGCACATACACTCTTCACACTAGCCTCCTGGAGTGGATAAATGAGGCTACATTTCCCGAATGAGGAAACTGACAAGCATTTAGTAACCTGTCCTGGGTCACGAAGTTCGGAGATGGCAGAGCTAGAATTCAACTCCAGGCTTGTCTGACTCCAAACCCCATACCCTTTCCACTGTACATCACATTCTTTCCTGTGTGCTGACAGAGGGATACCGCGCAGGCCAGGAGCTGGGGGGACAGGGATGTGGGGCAAGAAGGGTGTGGAGTGTGGTTACGGCACGTAGTTTGGTCGTTGGGGGAATGCAGTAAGGCAAGAAGCCTGACAGGGACTATGGTTTTGGGGCCAGGGAAGGGCATGGAAAAGTTTGAGGCCTGTCAGGCTGTCAGATACCCCAGGAGCTTGGCGCTGGGAAGACAGAAGGAAAAGAATGACACAAGTCAAGTCGAGAGCTCTGATCAGAGGGCGACAGCAAGGGGGCAGGCTGGGAAGCCCAGGCGGCCTTATTCTGACAGCAGCTTCTGCCCAGAGTCAAGAACGTGCTTGGCTCCTTGTGATGCTCACATTTTTGGACGCGCAGCCAACTCTGCAGGCCGAGCCTGCCCTCCTCCTCCCCATCCAGCTCCCAACCCCACAGTGACCCTGAGAACATAGCCCAAGTCATCTTCCCTGGGCTTGTGATGGCACATGGCCTGGAGGCAGATTCAAGAGAAGTGGCTCAGACGCACCAGCCGGTCTGTCAGTAGGGTACCCTGGGCCTGCAGCCCTGCACGGGAGCTGGGGTTCAGAGGCAAAAAGACGCGTGGGCCACCTGGCATAGACTACATGCTCTGGTTTGGACAGTGTGTCTCTGTGGTGGGAAACTGCTGCCGGGTCCCCTCCCCACCCCTAGCAGGCCCCACCACTCTATTCCACACTACAGATGTTTCCTCTCTTTCTGTGGGTCACCAACAGGTCACCCAGATTCTGCTAACTCACAACGATCCGCTGATCTTCAGCAGTCCTGGAGGACCTCAGCCAGGCCATCCCCCCCACCCGCCCCTCCCCTGCCTCCGTGGTAAAGCTGAATGGCTCAGGGTTCCACAGCATGCTCCCCTGCCCTCCTCTCTCTCTCTCTTCCTCCTCCCCTCTGGCCCTCTCTCTCCTGTCTCACAGAAGCCTTGTAACTTCTCCAAGCCTTTGTCACATTCTGGTAAATGAATTCTTAAAAGCTTGCCATAGTCTAGGCATACTCCACCAACTTTTGCTGAACCTATGCTTTTCTTTGTTTTTATTTTTTTATTTTTACTTTTTGAGACATAGACTCACTATGCAGTTCAAGCTGGACTTGAGCTCACTTTGTAGATTAGGCTTGTCTCAAACTTGCAACCATTACAGGCGTGTACCACCACACCCGGCTCTTCTTTGTCATTGTTTTTGTCTTTTGAGACAGGGTTTCACTATGAAGTCCACCATGGCCTTGAACCCATTTTGTAGCCTAGACTGGCCTCAAACTCCTACTTCAGCTTCCCGAGTTCTGGACCATGCTCTTCTTTTAACTAGGGTCTACCTTTCTAAGATCCGGACCAAGCATACTTGCTCATTACTCATCATTTGTCCCACTTAAAAGCTTTTTTCATAGCCCAGTGGGTCTGGGTTTTGAGCTTGCCATGGCATAGACTCACAAAGCGTCAGGCCTAGAACCTGCTGCGCATGCTGAGAGAACATGTCAGTGTGCTGCAGGCGGGGAGGGACTCAAGCCACAAGAGCCATGGCTATGGAGAGGCATCTGCTGCGTGTACTAAGGTGTCAGAGTCTCCTTAGCACTACTTCAGGATGTGACGACAGAGGGATAAAACGCATGGGGATTCTCACAGCAAAGTTTGAGCTGGAGAAGAGGAAACTTTGGACCTGGAGGAGACAAGAAGAAGCCTGCTCCAAGTAGGAGGCCCAGGGATAGGACAGTATATGACATGGAGAGGGAACAGCAGTGACCTAACTTGTCACACTGCACTCTTGGTTAGCTCAAGGCTTTCCCTTCTCAGTTTTACCCTTTCCTAATGCTGACAGTGTTTACCCTTTCTGTTACCCAAAGCTTACCACAGGAGAACAACCCACACACTCTGCAGCACCCTTGGGTCGCAGCAAGTGAGGCTGAGAGACTGGAGACAGCAGCCTCCTCCCACCAGCTGTCATCCCTGCCACCTCCCCAGTTTGCCAAGAGTTACTATCTCCCTGGACAGGAGCTCTGTAAGAGGCTGGTAACAATCACACCTCTGACTGTGTGATTAAGGATTTAGGCTTTGCAGCCAGATTCCTGAAGTGGAACCAAGCTCCATCACTTACTAGCTAGGTGATTTGGGGCAAGTAATTCAAGCTTTCTGCATCCCAGTTCTCTCACTTGGAAAGTGGGGATAGTACCACCTGTTTCATGGGGCTGTTATGAGGATTCAGTGAGTAAAGATTTGCAAGGCATTTAGATCACAGTCTAGCATACAACAAGCACCAAAGCATTTGTAAAGTAAGTGAAACATACTGTGCATATGCTCCCTGGCTATTAGTGCTCATTTAGTCATTTTGGGATAAAATCAGTCAGTCAATCAATCAATCTCTGCCACTCCATTTTTAGCATTGTTCTTAACCTTGCCATCTCTGATTATTTTGCTACGGGTGCTTCAAGTATTGTTGGTGTGTGCAAGACGGCTTTAGTGGCACATGATAAATGCTGCTCAGTTCGACATTTATTTGTAACATGTACACAAGGGCTCTACCATTGAGCGATATGCCCAGATTCTTTTTTATTTTGTGACAGGGTTTCACTAAGCTGGCTTCAAATTTTGCGGGAGGATCACTGTGAGTTCGAGGCCAGCTTTAACTACATAGTAAGTTCATGGGGCCAGTCTGCGCTACAAAGTGAGACCCTGTCTCAAAAAAAAAAAAAAAGAAGATTCTTCTGTCTCAACCTCTGGAGTAGCTGAGATTACAGATGTGTACCACAGTGTCTGGCACTATAACATATTTTAGAAAGAAATGTAAAAAGGAAATCAGACCTGATTTCATATTATTAGTTCATATTATTAGTTAAGCTAAGAAAAAAAACAAGTATACTGATACTAGAGTTAAAAAATATGAAGTAAACAGTAAGTGGATATAAATGGTGACTTTCTTATAAAATTGTAGTTAGGCCTGACTCAACAGCCACCCTGGGAGACTGGGAGGTGGCCCTGGAAAGTCTGCTAGGAGGCAGAGCAAGGTGAGGGATTGAAACACAGAGACAGACAGACAGACACTTGCCCCTCAAGATATGGGCAGCCTAGACTCTGGCTGATTTCCCTGCAGCCATACCCTGAGGCAGTATCTTGGTGGCCTCCCACCCTATTTTCTCTGGCAGAGCTGAAGCACCCACTCCCAACCCCCTTCCAGATGGATGCTCCTGAGAAGCTGCCAATCAGGCACAGGCACTGACACCAGACAATCATCACCCCGCTGGGAGTCTGCACTCCAGGGTAGGAACAACAACAGAATCAAGAGTGCGGAAGAGCTACATAAGGTACTCCCTACCACCGTACAAAGCACTTACACACACACACACACACACACACAATTTCATGGGCTCAATGATGTTGAGTTCTAGGACAGAAGGTGACAGCAAACAAGCTAGGTGGCAGACAGAAGGTGCTTGCCTCCTGGGGCCAGGAGGGCTGGGGTCTTGGTGGAGGAGCCAGACCAATGAACACTGGGAAGAAAAGGTCTCCCCTCCCTGCTCTGGGGCCTCAGCTGCAAAGAACACTGCAGGCCTCAGGCTAGGACTGGAGTGGCTGCCTGCAGGCCTGGCAGACCCCGCAACGCCTTTCCCCACCACGGCCTCCAGGCCCAGGGCCCAGTGAGTGTGGGGGCCTCCCCCTCTCCCAGTCCCCGGGGAGTTGGGGGTGTGTGTGGGGGGATCAGCCAGGCTCCCCCCTCCCAGGCCAGCTGCTACAGAACCTTCTGGCTCCAGCATTCCAACCCCTCTTAAAGGGACAGTGGCCGCTTCCAAACTGTCCCAAGCTTTACAGCTGGGTGGATGAGAAGACCCTGCTAGAGACGGGAAAATGGAGAACACTGAGAGACTCATCCTGGTTCTCCCATCCAGGCTGGAAGGTTCATTCCAACGTCCCTCTCTGGGCCACCATATGGAAGGGAAAGCTCCCAATTCAGAGCGGAAATCAGCACCTAGGTTAGCTGGGGGGACTCCTCTCACGGTCAGATGCTCCACTCTCTACTCTGACAACACCATGAACAGCCCCCAGGGAAAAGGTGGTACAGCGAAATAAACATCAGGTCTGCAGGCTCTGGCTCCCAGTGAAACACCCCAACGTCCCTCATTCTGTTCAAAGTCCCATAGCATAGCCCTCGAATGCAGGATCCTCCAAATATGGCTCTGAGTTACGGAGCTGCCCCGTGCAGAAATCCCTAGTCTACACTGAAAAGGTGGCTCCTCAGAGGGAGGAGGGTTGAGGACTGTGGCTTTGGGATAGGGTGGAGGGGGTGTGTCTACGTGGGCCACCGCTCCTGGGAGGGAGAAAAGAGGGGGCTCGCCTGGAAGGAACTCTAATTGCCTTGGGGGAACCCCCCCAACCTTGTTAAACAGGGGGGCGGCGAGAAGTGAATGGAGAGAGTCCCCCGAGGGGCTGGGACTCCCGCTCCCGAGCACGCCCGGGGGAGGGGACCCGGAGCTGGGCGGCCCTGCGCCGAGCGGAGACGCCAGCACAGCGAGAGAGGTGTTGGGAGCCTGCCGGGGCTCCCGGGGGTGGGGTGGGGTGGGGCGGGGCGGGGGCCACCCTCACCCGAAGTCGTCGTCCATAGACTTGAAGAAGAACTTGTAGCTGGGTCGCTGCAGCACACCCTTAAAGTCCGCCAGGGTGACGCGCTCGGCGGGCAGGGGCAGCTTCACCAGGTACGGCGTCTCCTGCCCGTCCAGGTGGTAGATGATCTTGGTTTCGCCCATGGCTCCGGCCTCGGGCCCGGCGGCCCTCGCGCGGCCTGCTCGGGCGGCCGGGCCGGGCCTCTCGGACGCCGGCTGACGGCGGTGGAGGTGGCGGTGACGGTGGCGCTCGCTCGGCTGCGCGGCCCAGCGACTCAGTCCGGCTCGGCGCCCGGACGCGGCGCCAGCTCCCTTGTTCTCCGGCCGCCTCCGGGTCCCAGCGCCGCCCGCCGCTGCCGCCGCTTCCGCTGCCCACTCTCCCGGCTGGGCTGGCGACCGCGACTCTTCCGGTGGCCGCGGCCCTCCCGGCTCCAGGCTGCGGCTCGCCGCTCCCCTCTCCCGCCCCGCCCAGAGGCTCCACCCCGTCCTTAAAGGCTCCACCCCGTCCTAGAGGCACCGCCCCCCCCACGGCCCGCCCAGTCCCCGCCCCGCGGCCCGCGGCCCGCCCCCTTCCAGCCGCGCTGGCCTCCCGGGCAGATGGCCCGCCCAGGCCCCTGGGAGGAGGAAGCCAAGGGCTCACCTCAGCGTTCCCCTTCTCCTACCCTTCTGGCTCCTGACTCTGGGCCCACGGGGGTCGGTGGTGGACCCCCTTGCAGCCTGGGAGGGGAACGGTGGTGAATGCCGAAATGCCCAGAGATGGATTGGGCCAGGCGGGTGGATCTGAAGCTCTGACTGTGGATCCCTGCAAAGTGGTCTCCACATGGCCCTTTGGGGTCTGCTGAGAAGTCACTAAATAGGTCCTTGAGGGCAGAACAGGCTCGCGTTCTGGTTTTTCTTGCTAACCTCAGCGTCCAGGTGCATAGAGGTTTCCTACACTGACTGAGTGAAGATTGAGTGGATGTTTGCGCGATTGGACGTAAACCAAGTGCCTTAAACCAGGACTAGGCATGCTCATTTCCTAACAGACCTCCGGGTCCTCAGCGTTTAATTCCTTTTTATTTATTTCCTTTAATAAATATTCAGCGCCTACTATGTACAAGGCATTGTGCACGAGATAGCAGCAGCAGGACCGACTAGAAGCGTTCGCACAGGCTTGCAACCAGGTACCCTCAGAATGCACCCTACAGAGAAATAAAATGTAGCGAGGTGACAGGGGCAGGAGAAAGTTCTGGGTGGGCAGGAAAGACCTCTTCTGGGAGAGAGTATTCCAGGCTGAAGTCACAGCCGAATGGATGGGCTCAGGGCTGAAATAAACTTGCCATACTTGAGGAGCAGAAAATATGTTGTGATGGGAGGAAGATATAAGCGAGCTTAGAAGGGCTTAGGAGGGCCAGATAACTTAGGTCTTGTAGGTGACAGTAACAAATGTGGGCCCCACCCTATGTGGCCACTGCCACCTCACAGTTCCCAGATGCCTTCCAAATATCCTGAGCCTAGTGTTCAAAGCCCTTCGGAATCTAACCTTAACCTACCTATCCAGTCTTTGTCTCATTACACCCTGGCCAGATTTTTGATTCTTGGCAAATGAATCCACTTGTTAGCTGCTGTACACACCTTATGTATTTTCATTTTCTATCCTTGCCTTCTTTCCCTTTAGTTTTTCTTATTTTTTTCAATACTTAAACTCATAGCCTTCACACTGAACTACATCTCCAGGCATTTGATTTTTTTTTTTGTACTGAGAATCGAACTCATAGCCTCATGCTTGCTAGGCAGGTGCTGTGCTGCTGAGCTATATCCCTGGTTGCTGTTTTGAAATTTTGAGACAGGATCTAAATTACTAGATTGCCCAGGCTGAATTCATACTGTTGATCCTCCTGCCTTAGCTTCACAGAGTACTGGAATTACAGACATGTGCCACTATGTTCAGCTAAATTTTTTTTATCAAAGTAATACATATGCATAACCAAGTAATATTAAAACTTTTTTGGGGGTCTTTTTCCTTTTTATTGGTACCGGGGATCAAACTCACGACTGCCTGCTTGCAAGGCAGGTGCTTGTGCTGCTGAGCTAAATCCCCACCCCCAATATTAAAACTTTTTAACAAAAAACAGGGATCCTTTCCATTTTCCTTTCATTCATATTACTATTCTTTGATTTGTGGATTCTAAACATTGCCTATTGATTTCCGGTTTTGATTGATACTGATCTGTCTTCTACCTTGTACTCACTTAAAATACTGAAATCGGCTTTCAGATTCACTCTTTGGTAGAACCACCGCCAAGATGCAAATTTTTGTAAAAACCCTTACCTTACAGGGAAAACCATTACCCTCAAGGTTGAACCCTCGGACACTATAGAAAATGTAAAGGCCAAGATAGAGGGTAAGGGGCCAGGAATTTAGCTCAGTGGCATAAGCACTTACCTTGCAAGTGCATGGTCATGAGTTTGATCCCCAGTACAAAAAAAAAAAAAAAAAAGATAGAAGGAATTCCTCCTGATAAGCAAAGGCTCATCTTTGCTGGTAAACAACTGAGAGATGGACGTACTTTGTTTGATTACAACATTTAAAAGGAGTCCACTCCGCATCTTATGTTGAGATTCTGTAGTGGTGCTAAGAAAGGAAGAAGCGGGGTAGGGATATAGCTCAGCAGCATAAACGTGTGAGGTCGTGAGTTCAATCCATGGTTCCCCTGTCCACCTAAAAAAATAAGCTTATGCGACTTCCAAAAAGAATAAGCATAAGAGAAAGAAAGTTGGCTGTTGTAAAATACCATAAGGTTATAGCCGGGCTTGGTGGCTCATGCCTGTAATCCCAGCACTTGAGAGGCTGAGGTGGGAGGATCGCTGCAAGTTCGAGACCAGCCTAGGCTACAAAGTGAGCTCAAGGCCAGCCTGAACTGCATAGCGAGACCCTGTCTCAAAAAAAACCCCCATAAAAACCCTAAGGTTGATGAAAATGGCTAAATTAGTCCTTTTTGTTGAGAGCGCCCTTCAGATGGGGAGCTGGAATTTTCCTGGCTGCCACTTTATTGTGGCAAGTGTTGGCTGACTTACTGCTTCCATAAACCAGAAGACAAGTAACTATGAGTTAATAAGACTTCAGCTAACAACAACAACAACAACAAAAAAAAAAACCCCAAAACTGAAATCACACCTTGTGGTTAAATGTAATTTCAATTGCCATTATTTTTTTATACTTGCTTTTTTTGTTGAGACAAGGTCTCACTGTCTAGTCCAGGCTGACCTTGAACTCATGGTGATCCTCCTGTCTCAGTCTCCCAAGTGCTGGGATTACAGGTATGCACACCATGCCCAGGTGCCATTATTTCTGCTATGAGTACAGTTAAACGTACTTATTATTAGAAACAATCTTTTGGGGTCAGGGATAGCTCAGTGGCACAGTATCCACCTGGCAAGTGCAAGGTCTTGAGATTCATTCCTGGTTTTTTAAAAAAATCTTTTTGTTTTAAAATGTGTAGCCCTAGGAGCTGGGGATTTAGCTCAGTGACATAAGCACCTGCCTTGCAAGTAGGGAGTCATGTGTTCGATCCCTGGTACCGATAAAAAGGAAAAAGACACACACACAAAAAAATGTATAGCCTAGGTTGGTCTCAAACTTAAAGTGATCCTCCTGTCTCAGCCTCCCAAGTGCTGGGATTACAGGCATGTACCATCATGCCTGGCACCTTTACAATTTTTTGTTTTTCTTGGCATTAATCTTTAATTCGGTCTTTTATTTGCTTTCTCAAAATGTATTATACCTATCATTAATTCTTCCCACATAAACTGTTTCTCAATATACATTTTATTCACTTGATTGCCTCTGTTAGGTAATTCATCAGTTCTATTTTCTCCTGAAATATCCTTTTGAAGTTCTGAGGATTGGCTGCAGGGCCTTCACACTGAACTACAACCCCCATGCCCATTTTCAAACACGATTCTTGAATAATATCGTATTATTATTCCTAGTGTCTTTCTGCAACTTATTTGATGTTAGACTAATGATTAATTTTTTCCTTTTTTTTTTAAATTGGTACCAGGGATCGAACTCATGACTGCCTGCTTGCAAGGCAGGCGCTTATGCCGCTGAGCTAAATCCCCTGCCCCAATGATTAAATTTTCAGACAAGGTTTCACAGTGTAGTTCAGGCTGGCCTCAGCTCAAAGCAATCCTGCCTCAGTGCCTCCATGCTGGGATTTAAGAATGCACCACCATGCCTGGCTCTGGTTCATGTTAGACTTTAGATTTTTCTTTTCTCCTCCACCTTTTTTTTTTTTTTGAGAGTCTGTTTTCAAACTGCCTCACCTCAAACTTGGACATGGGATCCTCCTGCCTCAGCCTTGGAGTGCTGCGACTCTAAGCTGGTCCTTGACTCTCTTATCCTTTTCTCCATTATCATCCATTTCCTTTTCCTTTTTAATAATCTCATCATCTGCAAAGCTCATTATCTACAAGTTTTCTAACCATTTACCCATCAAAATACTTAAAAGCATGTAGATACTTGATAGGTAAAATACCCATGATTTAAAGTATAACGACCTTGTAGACAGAACTGCAATCAAATAGAACTATCTCCTGCATTTGGTTCTCTAGTCCTCCAGTTCCCAGGGTACAAATCTACAGTTGTGTCCCAGCCTCCTGCTTAGCTAGAATTACAGGTATGTCATAACTGGCTAGCTTGTAAGAACTCTGTGTTCTCCAATTCTTCCTTTTCATAGCATTTTCTTCAAAGTTATCCTGAGTCTTGAGGATAACTGTACCTTTACCCTTTTTTTTTGTCTTTTTCCTTTTTATTGGTACCAGGGATCGAACTGTACCTTTACCCTTACACACACACACACACACACACACACACACACACACGTAGTTTGCCATCATTTTTATGGTTTGTTTTCTCTTTGTTTGGGCCTCTGCCTTTCCTGTTTGAGGGACCTTCACTCCGATTCACACCTAAGAGATGCTGAAAAGCTGACCAGGAAGCTCTAGGTACAAGGCTTAGTAACAGGTTTCACTATCATGTAGTAAAGTGAAGGGAAGACGCCTCTGAGGGAAACAAGAAAGTTTTCACATGCCCTTTTTTCCCGTAGTTGTTCAGTTCATTCATATCATATACCATTTTTTTTCCCCTTTAGTTCTGGGGGTTGAACCCAGAACCCTGACACGGAGCTACCTCCCCTGTCCCTTAGTTTTGAGAGTTTTTCACCAAGTCGCTCCATTACCCAGGGTGGGTTCACTGAAATCCTCTCGCCCTGGCTCTGGGATTACTGGCATGCACCACAACCCTGTTTACTTCACTCATCTTCAGCCTAACAGGCACCCCACTGTGCCTGCAGTGATAGCGTACCCCAGGACACCTCTCAGTTTGCAGACTTCTTATTCATTGTATGGGGCATTCGGCTGACCTTAAGAATCAACCATTCCTCAAGACACTGATTAGCTGGATCTGAGGGATGAGGTGAGGGACAATTTTTTCTTCTATGAATCTTTGTGCATCTTCCCTTTACCCCAACCCTAATCCTTGAACTGCTGTGTGGTTCTGAGCCTTTTTTGGTTCTGGCGGGCACACTGACTTCTCAGTAACCACTCTAACATGTAAGAACTTAACTCCAAGTCATCTTCCATGCCCCCACTATCCAAAACGTGTTTCCCAGTTACTTCATTGTCCTCGAGTCATGTGCCTTTTAGAATCTCTTGACTGGTATTTTAATAGGGGTTTTGCAAGGAGTGGAGGAAAAAAATCCTGAACTTTCCTACTTAATTGTAAATCTTGTGCTGTGTGTGTACTAAGAATTGAACACAGAACTCCCACATGATAAGTGATCAACCAGAGCTATATCCCCCAGTCTCCTTTGAGATGGAGACAAAATTGCCCAGGTGGGCCTTGAACTCGTGCTCCTCCAAACTTGGCCTTGCAGGCATGTGGGACCACAGGCGTCCACCCCTGTGCCCAGCCTGGCTTTGAATGTGCCCTTCTACACATTTTTTTCAGGCCATCTCAGCATCACTAGTCGGTAAAGCTTTCCCTAGTGAGCCCTACAGGAAGGAATCTTTTTCCTAGCAAGTCCTACAGGCCATTTCTGAGAAGTCACCAATTTGCTACAGATCAAAGATGCTACGTTGTTACTTTAGCTGCCCATTAGGTCATCACTACCTTCGCAAGCTCCTTAGGCACTAGATTCTCTACCTGGTTTATTGAAATGAAGCCCAGTCCTGGGGGGGCCTGTTCTTCTTCTGTAGAAATGCCCAGAATGCCTTTGTGCCTGCAAATAGAGCTCGGGATCTTCTCCCTTGGCTTATTCTTTTCACTCAGCTGAAATGAAGGCACCCATCTTACCTGCTGTGTCCGAGGATAGGGTGCCACTTGTTACAACAATATTTGCGTAATGATGTTTTGTGTCAATGGAGGGAACACATCACCAACTTGTTTTACATGAAGGCAACCGAGAGCTCACAGGGGAGACACAGGGCATGTCTCAGGGTTGGGGTTACAGGACACAAGGCAGCCAGGTGACACACTGTGGTGTGAGGCTTAGTGTCAAATTCAGGGTCTCCCAGTGACAAGCTGTGTGACCTTTTGGAGGGGTGGTGACTCATCTGAAAATGACAAGACCTACCACATGGGCTGCTTTGAGGGTTAAAATAGAGAACACCCAAGTACCACTTAGCAGAAAGGCGGTTGTGCTACCCTGGGTGGTAAGGGAAAGCGCACTTTCAGCACCTTTCTGCCTTCTTACGGGCATTAGGCTTCACTTGCTTCCAGGGGCGACTTCCCCTTCACTGACACAGCACAAGGAAGCACAGAGCTCCACGCAGAGGTTTGAGTCTTTAGCTTTAGTTTTGAGTGCACTGCTTTATCTTCAGGATGGAGTCGGCCCTGCTTCCCCGACAGGACTGGCTCTGGGTCCACTGGGAAAGGCCTGGGAATGGGGCACACAGATCCCTGAAACATTGCCCTGTGGCACCACCCCAGGAGACTGGTTCACAGGGGCTGCCAAGCAGCGGGCCCTCTACTGCCTGCCAGCCAGGATGTATTCACCAGGAAAGTGCCACAGCACCATCTGGTGGCCACCATGTACCCCCCCCCCCCGTGTGGGTTTGGGTGGGGGGAATGGTTCTGTCAGAGGTCCCCAAACCAGTGGTCTCGCACACCAAACAGACCTCTGTCTCTGTTTAATATTAACAAACGCAAGCAGCAGAGAGGGCCAGCTGCCCTCTGCTTTCCCTGAGGGAACCCCGAGCACGAAGCTGGGTCTCCGGCCCTCCTCGGCTGCAGGGCCAGCTTCGCCTTCCCTGGGCAGGAGCGTCCTTCAGCACCACTCCCCTGTCCTGACTCCCTGGACAGGAGGAGTACGCAGGTCGCAGGCATGGAGAGAATACTGTGGTTCCACCCATGTGCCTTGAGACCCAGCCTGAACAGCATTTGTGCTCTTCCCGCAGCTCCTGCTTCAGTCCCGGGAGCCAGGCAGGCAGCTGCCCTCAGGCAGGAGCAGAAGTCCAGTCTCAGTCCTCCTCGGACGACTCCTCCTCTGCCTCTTTCAGCCACTGGATGAACCTCTGCAGCTGAAGGAAGCACACGGCAGAGCTGCTAGGGCGTGGTACGTACCTCTTCTTTCCCTCAGCTCCCAGCACCAGAGCCCCGCCTCATTTGGGGCCTGGGGTCCTGGTGGGGCCGTGGCCTCATGGGAGGACAGTGACTCACCTGCTGATTCTTGCGCAGCTGCTGGCCTCTGTCAGTTATGCCCCTGCTGCTGAACCAGCTCAGGATGGTTTCCTCGGCCAGGATCTCCAGCTGGTAGAAAGCCATCAGCACCTGCAGACGGCCGCAAAGAGGGACTCAGGGCTCTGCCGAGTGCGGGAGGAACAATGGCTAATGGGGAGAGGTGGCAGGACCCTGGTACCACACTGGGCCCTCAGCACATCTCATGCATGGAGCAGCCGTGTCCTCCAGGTACACACGGGTCAGGGAGAACTGTGGCCACTACTGCTGGGGAGCGCACCACACATCACCAGGCCAGTGCCCAAAGAGCCGGCCTGCTCCTACCATCTTGGGTCCTATTCAATAAGCGCAATAGGGCAGATGAGGCTGTGAGCCCAGCATGGAGCTTGGCTGGGGTTATGGGGTCCTTGCTTTCGAGTCTCCCTGGAGGTCACCTAGGCCGGTTTGAAAGCAAATGCAGGAGCATGAGGTCTGATGTGGTTTTCACCTTGGCCATGCAAGTTCCGAGCGCTTCATGCCCCAGGAAGAAGTCTTCAATGGCCGCCAGTGCTTCCAAATGGTCAGCTGCACGCTTTACATAGTTCCTAAAAACGGGGCTCCAGCTTTTGAGCAGCTACGGAAGAAAAGAGAAACGAACTGCGATGCACTGTGAGGTACACTTACACCTATGAGCACAGCTGGTATTGGTAAACTGGGTCTTTTTCATGACATGGGAAGATGGAGGAGACAACACAGGCCCCACAGAATTACAGAGGGAGGAGGGAGGTGTTGGCAGCATGGCTGGGGAAGAGCTTTCCCAGGGAAGGCAAAATAGATGCTGTAGGCTGCCTTGAATACTCATCCACGGCCTTGAGGCTGAACTTGTTCTGAGTCAAATCACTTTAAGTTCTAAGTCTATTCTTTTTTGTTTTGAGACAGGGTCTTCCTATGTAGTTTAGGCTGGCCTTGAACTCACTATGTGGCCCAGACCAGCCTTGAACTTGCAGTGATCTTCCTGCCTCAGCCTCCCAAGTGCTGGGATTACAGGCATGTACCACCACGCTTGATTCCAAATCGATTCTTTGTTGCTGAGTTTTTGTTTGTTGGTCTGAAATGGGAGTCTCACTGTTGTTGCCCAGGCTGGCCTTGAGCTCCTGAATTCAAGCAATCCTCCCTCTTTAGCTTTTCCTATGGAACTGGACTATCAGTGCAAGCCACCAGGCCAGGAGTCCAGATCTATTTCTGAGGATCCTTTTGGGACCCTGGTGCTATCCGAATTACTCAAGGTTGAACTCAACCTTATCCCTCGGCACCAGCCAAAGCTACTTTGGAATCTAATCAGCTTCCAGAGGGAAGCAGAAAGGAACCAGAAATAACATAACAACCCATGATTACTCTTGATTTCTTTTCAAGTCAAGCACAGCACCAATGGGTGTCTTCCTCCACCAAACCCCTGCAGCCAGCCCCAGGTTTTGCTCACAGGAAGCAGCAGGGCACAATAGCGAGCTGGGTTGGGTGGCGAATCCATCTGCTGCAGCGGGAGCTCCAGGACCACGTGGCTCAGCACCTGCATCACTTCCTTTAGGCTGATGTTGTAAGCGTACCTGTGGGAGACAGGTGATGCCAGAGCTGTGACCCCCTCTAGCAAGGAGGTCAATAAGAAGGGTGTGGAAGGGGAATCTATGTTAAGGTAGAATCTGATGCCCTCCCTGCTCCAAATACTTGTGGCCTTTCCCCTTTGGGTCACTGGTGGAAGAGGCTTATCTCTGGGTAAAGAAACATTTGGGAGAGAATCTAAATACCTAGAATTACCCAGAGGAGGGCAGAACAGGCAGGGGCTTCTCTTACTTGAGAGAGTTGATCTCCAGGACTAGATTGTCACAGGAAATGTTCTCCTCTTTGCCTCGCTGCAGTGTTCCCAGGACCTCATTCTGGAACACTGAAGAGGAAGAAGAAATTCATAGGCCATCATCATCCCACAACACTTTGCTTGCTGTGCATCCTGACGTTATGCCACAGCCTTTCTTCCAAGAACTTGAGTCTCTGGCCAGGTGATGCAGGTGAAATAGGTTGTGCCTGTGCCAGCCCGTGCTGCCCAAGCTACTCACCTTTGATGTCATCGAGCTGAGGGGAACCTGCCCTACTGTCCAGCTCCTCTGAGTCCATACTTCTCTCACTTTCAGTGTCACTCTCCTCTTCCATGTTGATCGTGAGTCCTGAGAATCCAAGAAAGATGAGGAAAAGAATGCCAAGGAAAAGAGTGAGTGCTGGAGAGCACTGCACCTGCCCATTGGCCGGTGCAGAGGAACCAACTCCAAAGGACTCGCTGCTCTTTCGATTACTTGGCTTGGGCCAGCCGGAGGCTTGGCTTACCCCAGAGACTCTGCCGTAGCTCCTCCTCCTCCTCTACGTTTGTGCCTGCAGCTCTCCAGAGGTAGCCCTGGCCCTCAGCGCCCACTTCTGCTGGGTTGTAACCTGGGAAAGGAACCGAGCTTTAGAAAGGCCCCAGTGGAAGCGGGATCCCCTGGGAGGAAACTGGGTTTCCTCGGGGGGCAGAGACGCACCGACACCCACGCCTGTGAAGCCTCGCACCTTTCAGCTTCGTTTTCTCCTTCTCTTGATTGGCCCCAGAATCGTCACTGAACTGGCCATCATCTTCCTCTTCCTCTGTGTCGGGAGGATGCAAGGAGATCACTGAGCCCTCTGGCATCGTGATATCTGGACCAACCACTACCTGGGAAGACAGAGAGGACGAGACCCGTGAGCTCAGTGTGCTGAGGAAAAGTGCGTCCTGATGGGAGGGAGAGCGAGTTGTTTTTAGTGAACAAAACAGAAGTAAATGAAACCAGTGGTCTGGGACTCTCGATTCAGGCTGGAGCGCTGGGGAATAAGGTCACTGCGCAGGAGCGCAGCATGCAAAGCACGTCTCACCTGAGAAGTGAGGACACAGCGTGGCTTCAGGGTCACCCGTTCCTTGACCTCGGCATGGTCACAGAGCAGAGACTGATGGATCTGGGCTCCCGTTGCCACTCGCACACCTTGCCACAGGTAGGCCCGGTCCAGGACCACATTGTCACCTGGCTCAAGATGAGGAGGATTCCCGGTCAGTCACTGCTCAATCACCAGCCCACAGCCCTCCATGCAGGACAAGGCTGCTGGGACACCCACTGGCCCTGAGACGCCAGACCCCAAGGCATGGAAAGATCCCTTGCACTCTAGGTGTAACCCTGGTAACGGAACACCACTCAGCTGACTCTCCCCTGTAAGCTTAGGGCCATTACAGACTGCCCATGGGGCTTCAGAGTCTGAGAACCGTTAAGATTTCTGGGGATGAACTTAAGGACCTTATCGGAATCAAATTACAGTCTATGAGTAGAGCTGTGACCTCATCAGTAGAATCAGCCAATGCCATTTCTTCTGGGACATTTTACAATCTGAATTTCTTTTTTTTAGCAGATCACAGTCTCGTATTTTTTTGTTTTTTTTTTTTAGAATCTGAATTTCAACTGTTGTTCTTTTAAAGAGACAGTACCATTAGAGGCAGCACATTCCCACAGTCAAAGTGAGTCACCAAGAAGCCAGCCAGGCAATTATGGATGAGTAAACAGAATCCTGGTACACCAGAATACGCAGAATTCAAGTCTCAGCACTGACTCTCCTTCCTCTCCTCCACCAGAATCTTGCCTTGAACTCACTAGGTAGCCCAGGCTGGCCTCAAACTTGTGATAATCCTCGTGCCTCAGCTTCCTGAGTACTGGGATTACAAGCATATGTCACCACACTTGGTGGTACTGGCTCTTTATCAATTGTGATCTTAAGTAAGACAATCTCTTTGAGTAGGTTTGTCAATTAGGGGTAAATGGTACCTTCCTCTCAGGGCTTTTGAGAATGAAATAACTAATGTATGTAAAAGCCCTTTGTGAACAGTGATGCACTGAACAGGTTGTTGTTGCGGTGAATTACCTACTTGGTCCTGAATGTAAATATGGGGTACACTAACATGAAGACTCACTTACCAAGAGACAAACAGGACACAATGAAGGGGTCAGTTGTCAGGTCCTTGTTCCCTCCTTTTTAAAGGTACTTCTACTCTATAGTTTCTCACTGCCAAGGGCTCCCTCATGTGTCCACCCTCACTTCTACACATAACACAGCCCCCAGGCCTGTTCCGAGGGTGACCGCCTCAATGCCCCTCCTGTGCTCACCGATGTGGCAGCTGGGGCCAATGACACTGTTGGTGATGGAGCAGTTGCTGCCAATGACAGTGCCTGAGCCCAGGAGCACGTTCTCCTCCAGGATGCTGCCGTGGCCCAGGCTGACCTCAGCCTCCCGGTAGATGTTATGGCGAGAATGTGTGCAGCTGTGGGTGGCACTGTCAGTGAAGTTGGCTTCCGGGGTGAGGGGGTAGACCCAGCGGCGGACAACGTCGGCACAGATGGCCGAGTACATGTGCAGATTGGACACCCGGGCGCCATATTCTCTAGTCGTTACGTGCATGTGGATCTGGTTCCCCAGGATCTGAATGAGAGGGAAGGGAGGTCACCCGAGACACGGGAAGGTCTTGGGAAGAACATCCCAAGTAGTGCACAATGCATTTCTGAGCCTCTTCAATTCCCTCTGTATTTCATTATTATAGACAAAAAGCAGGAGGCTGCTTGGAGGACTGTTTTCCCCAGCCTCTCAGGCACTTTCTTCCTTCCTAAGGCTCAGTGAAACCCAGAAGGGATGAGATCAAAGGCAGGCCCATCCTAGTCTTCTACAGAGGCTTTTTCTTACCTCCTCGTTCACTAGCAGGCCTCGTACAAAATCATCTCGAGTCTGGTAGTCAAAGTTGTCTGTGAAGAGCTGAGCCACCTGCAGGTGGAAGCGAGTGGCTAAAGTTCTATAGAAACAATGAGCAGCCCCCCTGTCACACCAGGGGCAGGGCAGGGGTTTCAACTCAGTGGTGAGCGCTGGGCTAACAGGCAGGAAGCCCTGAGTGCACTCTCTAGTTGCCTCAAGGCAAACAAAATGAAACAAACCCAGGACAGCTGAATGAGGCCAGGACCCAGAAGAGGTTTCTAATATACCAGGGACAAGATAAGGGCACCTTTCTGTTTTACAACAGGTAAGAAAAAGAGCAAAAGAGGGACACATACTCTGGCTTTCTGAGCAGGCAGCAATGGACCCTCAGAGTCCTACTCTCTGGTCATGTGGCCAGCCCTAAGTGCTCACCTGAGGAGAGCAGATGCTGATGTGACAATCCAGTAAATCGTATCGAATCTCCACGCCATCGCCACTGCCCTGGAACAGACTCTGGGGAGAAACACAGGGACTTCATTAACCTGTCTCCTGTCTGAAGCCAGTTACTTTCCCAACTCAGGCTCCTTGGGTACCCACACACCAGAGGAAACGAGAAACGCCGGAGGCCCTGGGTTTTCTGGAAGTGCAGAATCCGGTTTGTGGCGCTATCTACAGCCACTACCACATTGTCCTCATGGCAACGAGTAGGATGGCTGGGGGATGACTCCTTGAAGACCATCGTCATCACAGATACATTTTTTTCTAGCTTCCGCCTCAACCTATGAAGGATAGGAGGGATACAGCTGCAGGAGAGCGGCCGTGGGGTTCTACTGGTCCTGAACCTGCGTCTCTGCCACACTCCCGTCCTGACCTGTGCTCCTCCAGGGCTCTGGTGATGTTGATGTTTGAGATGACATCTCCATAAACAAGTAGGAAGTCAGAGCGCACCAAGGCCTTGGCGTCCACGTCACGGAGGACATCTCCCAGTGATCGATACAGCTCGGATGTGATTATTCGAACCACATTGAGGGATGTAGGGCGGCACCACTTGGATTTCCTACCAGAAGGACAGGGTAAAGGAAATAAAGATCACGTGGACCTTCTCTGCCCTCCCCCACTCAGCATTCACATTCCTTCTTTATGGCTTTTTTGGGTGCCAGCCAGCGTCCTCAACTTCAAAGAGATTTATGAACTATAATTAATGCTTTCGACATTGTGTCATTAGTTGTTTTATGGGTTAGAGAAATATGGTTATTTCCTCTCTATGCCTTAACCACTGTTGCCAAATCCTGATGGAACCTGGGGTCTAAAAGACCTTTGGGAACATACTTCCTATGTTGTCTTTCCTCTGAGGTCCCCATGTCAAATTCAGGAATGGTCTGACGGTGACCATACTATCAGTTAGTCTTTATTTCCTAAGCTTCCATAAATTCTGAGATTTATTCTTTCCCAAGAGTTTAACAAACATCTGTGAAGGGCTTTTTACCTTGTGACACTACACCAGGCAGAGGGAATATAAAGATGAAAAAGAACTCATTCTTGTCCTTGAGGGGTGGAACAGATAATATTTGGAAACTCAGTGGAAAAACAAAGATGCTATTCTAATAGGTTACCTATTAGAAATGTTCAATAAGAAGCAAAATCCTAAGTAAGATTCAGATAAACCTAAGTGTCTTGGGGGAGAGGAGGCAGATGGCCCCTTGATACATTCCCCAGGCTGGTTTTGAAGTCCTGGGCTTAAAGGATCGCCTGCCTTAGTTTCCTGAGCAGCTGGAACTCCAGGCACTGCTTGGTACAATTGTTAGTCCAATTTTTGTCACAGGAACCTCCAAATGGATAGATACAGAGCAACAGCTGCTCGCAAGTGAAGCAAACACCCTTATACCCTACAGACACGTTATCTTCCTCCTCGCATTTCCCCTTACTCAGTTACATCCATCCTAAAAAAACTACAGTAAGATGGTGAAACATGGAAAGAAACATCACAGGGCCTTACAGTAAATGTTCTTTGATTTGAGCAGCCTTCCAACAGCAAAAGACAAAGGTTTCCTGTACACCTGTGGCTGTCAGGAATTCCAGAGTGTAGTCAATTAATGCCACGTTGGCCAGGGGTAAGAGGACCTGCAGGGCAGGATATGAAAACACTTTTGAGGTCTTGCATCCATGAGGGCTGTCTAGGTACCCAATGCAACAATTCTTACTCATCTTATCAGTGTTTCCAAATACCACAGTTATACTTTTATCTTTCTAAATCAAAGATAGATTTTGCTTTGTTTTGTTTTGTGTTGAGACAGAGTCCTTCCCTGCAGTCCAGACTGCCTTGAACTCACTATGTAGCCCAGGCTGGCCTCAAACTCATATCGATTCTCATGAGGGCTGGGATTACAGGTGGTGTGGCACCGTTCAGGGTGCGGGTAGGGGTTGGTGTTTCTTGCTTTTGATAGTTCTAGTATGTGCTAAGGTTGAGGCCACAGTGTTTCAATTTGGGCACAATAAAGCATGGAATCTGTCTGTCTAGTATCAGACACACAGCTTACAAAGGACAGTACTGAACATTAATCTTCACATATCCAGAGGTCTTAAGTACTGCTAAGGCCTTCTATTCCATGTCATTCCCTCTCCCTCCCTCCTCTTTTTTGTTTTGCACTGGTGATTGAATTCTAGGCCTTCACAATTAAATTACAGCTATCATTTAATATTTTTTTTTTGTTTTCTATTTTTTTAGATAGGGTCTCATTAAGTCACTAAATTGCCCGGACAAGTTATGGTCCTGCCTTAGGTTCTCAGAGTGCAGAAATTATAGGCCTGGGTCATCAGACCTGGCTCCTTTAACCTTTTCTAAGAGTCAAGGGCTAGCCCCTCCTCATCACTTGTCAAAAATAAACAGCCACAAGACCTTGGGGTGGGGGTTGTTAGGGATGATTTTCCTCAATTTTAATAACTTCCCTCTCTTAGATCTTACGAATAGCTCAGTCCAACTTCCTATTGTTTAGGTAATTCGGGAGCTAATAGCAACCAGCCGCCTTCCTTTAGGCAGACGGTAACGGTAATCATTAAAGTTTAGAAGGAGGTTAAAAAAAAAAAGAAAGAAAATACACTGCTTTGAGCTCTAGCCTGCTCTTTTTAGGCATAGTTATCCTTTCAGAGGCAGAGACGCTGTTGCTTGCTAACTGAGCATCTCTTCCGCAGACTCAAAGGCAGTGTAGGCTCCTCGGGGCCACAGAATCCTCGCTGTCAGGGATTCCAGCGGCACTAGTTCTGCATTTAATCCTCTCCAACCCGGAGTAGACAACCCTGAGGGCTTCCACCTGCAAGCCAACTACTTGGTCAAGCAAGCATTCATCAGGCTTTCAACAGCTCCTCTATTTCTCTCCTACCCAGATAAACCCGACTTTGGGCTCCTTAGGTGACACAAATCCTTCCCGGGCGTGCTTCACTAGCCAAACGTCAAGATAACCCATTCTGCGCTACCAACCTCCCGGCCCGCAGGCTGCTCGCACGCTGGCGCTCACCCGAGGCTGGTCCTTGGAGATTGGGAAGAAGCGACGGTTGAAGCTGTCGGCCACCAGAACTGCCTGCAGGGGCGGCGGCGGTTCCTCCTCCGTTGCTCTGGCTCCCCCGCCAACGCCGCCGCCATCTCCAGGGCCTCCGCCACCTCGTTTGTTGGCCCGACTGGCAGCCGCATCAGGTGCTGCCACCATAGTAGCCGCCATCTTCTTCCCCTACGACCACAACTTCCGCAGGGAAGCGGGCACTGCTCGCAGTAGAGGACAAAAAGTACTCAAAACTGGAAACGCGAAGGACTGAGGAAAGAGCTGGAGAGGGAGAAGTGCGCACGCGCCCCTCCTGGGGGGGTGGTGGACGCTCCTCCCCGTGGGCGGTCTGAGCTGTGAGCAGAGTGGCGACTGGCTCCTGTGCTAGAGTACTTAGGTCGGCAGGCTGGGTCAGCGGGATTGCGGGCATTCATTTGTACAAGAAACTGGTTCCTGCGGCGCGATGGGACTTGTGGTTACCTCGATGGAGACAGAGCTGGTGGGATCTGTAATCGTGTGGTAGTTTCCTTGTCCCGAGCATTGCAGTCACCTAATGGTTCCGGCGTCTGGTGGAGGCTAGTGTGAGGGTTGGAGCCAGTCCGACCTCGGCTCGCAGCTCACGGTCTGCTTAAACTTTGTGTGTGTGTGTGTGTGTGTGTGTGTGTGTGTGTGTGTGTTTCCCTGGAGCGTGAACATGGGCCGGTGCGATACTAGCATCAGCTCATTTAATTGGTCACACCTCTCTGTGAGGCTCCTTAGTTCAACAAATCAATTTTCCGCCTTCCCTCCGCTTCTCTTCCCTCTGTCCTCTCCTCCCTTTCCTGTGTTTCTCTACCTTCCCTCTCCCTTCTCCTTTCCTCCTTTCCCTTTCCTTCTTCTTTGGTCCTGGGAGGAAACATTCTTGAACTCTTTTTTTTCTTTCAATTTTTCTTTTATTTATTTATTTACTTTTGTGGTTTTTTTTGAGACAAGGTCTCACTCTGCAATTCAGGCTTGCCTAGAACTCACTTTGTAGTCCAGGTAGTCTCCCAATTCGCAACAATCCCCTGTCTCAACCTCCCAAGTGCTGAGATTACAGGCATGAGCCACCACGCCCACTTCAATTTTTATTTTTTATTAGTACGTGTGTGCAGTAAGTAATGAATACCTTCCTCTGGGAGGTTGGAGCATTGACATGACATCAAGTTTTTTCATCCCCTCTTGGGTTCCTTCCTATTTGCAGATTATTCCCTATTTCCTATTATCTTTTATTTGCTCTTGTCTATATTTTGGGTGTCTTACATGAGAGAGACTGTGCACTATTTAACCTTGTGTGTCTGATTTATTCTTTATGGCAGAGTAGTACTCTGTTTTTGGGTGGTACTGGGAATTGAATTCACAACCGCACACTTGCCAGGCAGACATTGTACCATTGAGCTATACCCCTGGCCCAGTACTCCATTTTTTATAAATGCCACCTTTTCTTTATCTACTCATCCATTCATGGACATGTAGGGTGCTTCCAAGATTTAGCCATCATGAATTGTACTGCTATAATCATGGATATGCATGGATCACTGTAATATGATGCCTCAGACTTAGATGAAGGAAGTACTCTGCCAGTAAGTGGAAGAACTGGTACTGGAACTCAGTTTGCCTGTTTCCTGCCTTAATAATTAGTTCCACAACCTTTCTGCTCAATTATGTGAGGATAACAACTATATTAGCATTCATTCATTCATTCAAAGTGAAGGTGGGGTGGAGGCAACTCAGGAGGAATAGAAGGCTCTGGTCAGCCCCAAAGCGCGCAGCATGTTTGGGGAAAGACTGGTGGCTGTGGAGCTGGAACAGAGCCCTCAGCAGGGGAAGTGGGGCAGCTGGGTCGCCAGGCTGAGGTTTGTTGTTTCCAGCAGTGCAATGATGAGGGTGCCTCTTGATTTTGGAAATTTTAGTCTTGGTCAGCAAAGGGAGAAGGCAGCTCAGTAAAAATTTTCTATTAAATGAAAGTCCTTTGTAGAGGAGAGATGAGGCACTTTGCACCAGTGCATGGACACACGTGTGTGCACACATGTGCACAGATACAGACACACACAGGCTGCATGGAGTTGGGGGATATGGAAAGTCAATAGATTTTTTTTTTAAAAGCCAGCTCTGCTCTCGGCTCATGGTAGAAATTTTTAAATGACTTCCGTTACTTTGGAAAGTGGTGTCTCTGATTCTGAACTATCAGTGAGACTGAAATCCAGGCCTGACAATTGTGTAGACAGGCACCATTTTAATAGGGCTGGAGGAGGCTTTCAATCTGCTAATTTTTTTGTGGTTGATTCACACTTATTTGAAAGGTTGAAAACCACACAAACATGTCCCCATATCTAAAAGTAAAAATCCCTTCCCCTGCTTCTCTCCTCTTACTATTATAGACAGCTAAGTTAGGCAGAAATAGGATAGGCAGTCAGACAAGCTAGGTTCTCAAGGGAGCCAGCACAGAGGAGGAGAACACATTATAGCTGTGGCTGGAGGCTCATCCATTGAAGGCCAGGCCTCAAACCTGGAATGACCAGGCCTGCATGTCTCCCAAAGAGATAAGCAATATGCTGTATTGGATCGTGTGGTCCAGTAAAGCCTCGATAGACATCAGTCACCCAGGTGGGTGACCAGCACCTCCTGACTCATCTCTTCCACAAAAGGGCCTTCGTCTTTCCATGTACACTTGCCACATGACTTGCTTCCTCATTGGATCAACATTACTTAAGTGACTATACTTGTAATCCTATTGGTTGATGATAGTTTTATCCCACATTGTATCCACCTTATAAGTTTGCTCTAAAAAGTGGGATCCAAGGCAATCCACTCAGGGCCCCTCTTGTCTTTCAGGAGCTATTTCTCCCAATAAAGTTTCCTACTGTTGTGTTTTGTTTTGGGACAGGGTCTTACTATGTAGTCCAGGCTAACCTTGAACTCACTAAGTAACTGAGGGTGGCAGTGAAGTCAAGGCAGTCCTTCTGCCTTCTCTTCCTCCTAAGTGCTGTGATCACAGATGTGCACCACCATGCCTGGCAAGTTTTCCTCTTAACCTCGGTTGTTCCTTAAAATTCATTCTTCGGTTTTGGGAAACATGAACTTGGCATATCTGACATCTAACAGTTTGGGAGTTATAATATTTCCCTTATATCATTTAGAGGTTTTATATCATTTGGAGGTCCCACTGAGATCATTGAAAGAGGGTAAGCGTTTGCTTTTGTTTCATGGATTCTTGTAACTTGTTTGGGTAATCCAAAATTGTCATCCTTGTTTGTCAGTTGCTTATGGGTTGAATTTCATGCTTTGTCTTTTTACTTACTGTTTTTGTTAAAATGGAGAACATGAGAAGATAATGTTGTTTCTTTAGTGGGACATTGTAGTTTTGCAGGCAAGGTCTTGTATTCTTTTTTTTTTTTTTGTCTTTTTCATTTTTATCGGTACCAGGGATCGAGCTCACGACTGCCTGCTTGCAAGGCAGGTGCTTATGCCGCTGAGCTAAATCCCAGTGTTTGTATTGTTGTTTTGTGTATGCCACATTTGGACTTACTAGTTGCAGAATTTGTTGGTGTTCTTTACTTGACCTGTTTGACTTGTTAGATAACAGTGCTAGAGAAAAGCAACATTAGCGCATCCCCTACTGGGGTTTGATATAAAATGCTGTAAAATGGGTCTTTTAGGGGTTGGGGATTTAGCTCAGCAGCATAAGTGCCTTCCTTGCAAGTGTACAGTCGTGAGTTCAATCCCTGGTACCGATAGAAACGAAAAAGACAAAAACAAAATGGGTCTTTTAATGAAATCCAGTTTATATTTAGAAAATATATTCCTATGGGCTGAGGATATAGCTCAGTGGCATAAGTGCCTGCCTGGCAATTGCAAGGTCCTGAGTTTGATTCCCAGTACCAAAAAAAAAAAAAAAAAAAAAGATAAAATATATGCCTATCAGTAAATCATAGGACTCTACCCACCGGTAAGACAGTATCTCACTGGGACAGACTGACCCAATCCCCATCCCTACTCTAGGGAGAATATCAAGACTTTTCTGCCTTAGTTTCCTTTCTGGTCTGATCATCCATTGGTGAGGAGGCAGTCTTAACTCTTTTTTTTTTGTTGTTCTGGGGCTTGAACTCACAACCATGCATAAGTGCCAGGTAGGCACTTATGCTGCTGAGCTAAATCCCTAGCCCCGTCTTAACTCTTGAGATTCCCCAATTTCACTTTTCCAGGCTGCGAATGACAACTCGTGGACCAGTTGTCTCAATAACTTCCCATGAGTGTGAGAAGAAAAGATCTCCTTTTGCTGATCTTATTTCTGATCTTTCCCTGTCACTTTGTACTTACCTTGTTGGAGGTATGAAAGATTAGAGAAGGAGGAGCCCTGAACTGGCTCAGCCTTTGTCTCCTATCCAATTAGAAAGCCTTAAATTGAGCCTTGTAGAAAATGAGCATTAGCTAATGCAGAAGACAGGGAAATCGTCTTAGATGAAGGACATATAAACCCTTCTCTGGGTCTGATGACACATTAGAATTTTGTTCATCTAGGAGAACAAACATGAAAGGCATGTCCTGGCTTTTGTGTTTGGGTAACAGTTTCCCTCAGCAGACTGAACCTGAGACTCTGTGGAAAGAACCAATTTTGGGGAGAGACCAGAAATAGCTGTTTCCTAAACATGATATCCAAGAGGCCAAAACACATTTAGTATAAGGGAGAATCTCCTACCCCTCTCCCCTCCTAGGCCTGGTTCTCATCACTGATGTGTGCGGGAGAGGGGAGCACTTGTGCTAATGTGCAAATCATGGCTGCTGCAGTGGGTACAAGTTTTAACCTGCGAGTTTCATTAAGTGTGTTGCAGATACAGAGATGTAAAAATTTTAGAGAAGATTTTGCATAAAATTTAGCCTTGTCTTTCTGCTAAGGAAGATTGCCTAGCTGATTAGGTAGACAACACATATGTCTTAGAGAGTTCTTTGCCCGAGGGCCCAAGGCAAGATTTCTCCATGTCATTACTTGACTCTATCTATCTCTAGAAGTGATATCTTTTTTTTCTTTTTCTTATTCTTTTTTTTTTTTTTTTTGAGACAGGATTTTGCTGTGTAGTTCAGATTGGCCGTTAACACATTATGCAGCCCAGGGTCTCAAATGCATGGTGATCCTCCTGCCTCAGCTTCCCAAGTACTGGGATTACAGGTGTGTACCACCATGCCAGGTTAGAATTGATCTCTTTTACAGACTGGGAAGTACTCAGACTACTTCCAACTTGCCCTTTGATTTCACTCTCTTTCAAATAATTGTAATCTCTTCATTATTGGTTTTGTTAGCAATGTTTTTTTAAAAAAATGGCTGTTATAGCTGGAATCAATTGTATCCTGTGATTTTTTAAACACCTGCTACACTCGGGAGGCTGAAGCAGGAGGGTTGCTGCAAGTTTGAGGCCAGCCTGGGCTACATAATGAGTTCAAGAGAAGCTTGAACTGCATATCAAGACCCTATCTAAAAAAAGAAAAAAGAAAAAGAAACACCTGTTAGAGTCAGGAGTGTGACTTTCTGGAAAAGGAAGGGGTGTGAGGGTACAGGTCAGAAAGGGTGGCTGGTCTGACCCATCCTATCTTCTGGTCATTGT